GATGAGAAAAAAAAACTTGTTTGTCTAAAATAGAACTATATCTGGCCGTCCACACTGGGTTGGAGTGAAAAGTGAATAGTTGCCCAGGACGTTCTTCTAAGCAGGTAACACTTTTGAAGTGTCTTGAGCAAGTTGGGTGTGAGGCAGACAACACTGTGCTTCCTACTTATTTCAGTGGAAGAACTAAGGTTTGATATAAAAGTCGCAAGCCTTTATGTATTTCCATGAGAGTGAGTGCTACGGAACCCAAAGAGATATACTACTGGGTAGCTATGCCTAGGCTTAAGGGTACATCTTCTGCATTGGGCCAGCATCTCTCTCTCTCTCTCTTTCTGTTTAATTGCAGCCTTCCCAGTGGGTTACTCCCCCCTCAGGTTAATTTTATTAGGACTGCAGGATTTTACCAACTGCTGTGGTAACAAGCTGTTTGCCTAGCAATTAGACTGAGGTAGCAGCATTTATGATACACATTTATAATCCTAATGATTAAGGTGATTGCAGAAAGGTTTATTGTTTGTGTGAGAGAGAGAGAGACAGAGAGAGAAGGAGGGAGAGTCATTGCTGTCATTGGGACAATGAAAAGAATAGCAAAGTTTGGAAAGTTCTGTGCTTGGCTGGCACTTCCCTTTTCCAATTCCCTCCTTCTGCTGGATCTGAATACAAAGTTTTTTTGTTTTATTTGATTTATATGCCGCCCTTCTCCTGAGACTCAGGGAGGCTTACAATGCGTTAAGCAATAGCCTTCATACTTTTGTATATTTTATACAAAGTCAGTTTATTGCCCCCACAATCTGGGTCCTCATTTTACCTACCTTTGAAAGGATGGAAGGCTGAGTCAACCTTGAGCCTGGTGAGATTTGAACTTGCAGTAATTGCAGGCAGCTAATGTTAATAACAGTGCTTTAGTCTGCTGCGCTACCAGGGCTCAAAGTTGGTTTGTACAAAGTTCTAGATGAAACAACTCCTTTCCTTCCCTGTCCTCCTGCCCCTCCAGAAACATCTCTCAAGTACTTCAGGGCCTTCAGAGCCCCAGCCTCACAAAATGACTTTCACCCAATTATTTAATAAAATTATTTAATAATGCCCGTTTGCTCCGATCATAAAGAGATGCAGAAAACAAGCAACATCGAAGTCCGGCGCGCAATCAAAGCACCACATTTTCTGTCTCTCCTTCCTTCCTCCCCCCCCCCATGCACATCGTCTTCTACACGTGCAATCTCTACACGTGTTTTCTCATTAGGGACGAACTGACTGGAATTCCCCAGGAGAGCTTTAAACCTCAACGAAGTTAAGGTTTGGGACGATCGGAATCCTTCGGTTCGTGGCTTCTGTCAGCCACAGCGGACTAGGAAAGGAGCAGCCCGCGTAGGGCCCCCGGCTACGCCCAGTATAAAAGCCAGAGTTGGACAGGTTTTATTAGAATTGATTAAAAACCAGACCTGATTAAATGGTTGACCCGCTCGCGGATTCGGCCACCTCCCCTCCCCTCCCCTCCTGAATTTCAAACAAATTCTAACACAAAGGTCGACGGAAAGGAACAGCCCGATAGGTTTCGACCTAAAAGCAGAGTTCAATTGGGTTAATTCAGCGTAAGGGCCCAACCGATGCCGCCGCCTGAGTATACGGTAGGCAAATCAGAGGGACTTTCCGCCAGAGGATTCCGCGATCCAGACAAGCGCATTCGGGCGGAATCGGGGCAGATTTCCAGCGCGTGAGAGAGAAGTGCAATAGCCCCCCCCTCCCCGCTTTCCCTCCAACCCACTTGGCAAGGCCGGTGCAAAATTAACCCTCCTCTCTAGGGCGTCTCTGGCAACCCGACGAGGCGCTTCACTTTTATTAATAAAAGCAAAAACTTTTATTCTCCCGCGTGGGGAAAAAAAAACCCCCAAACCCTGCGGGTCGGAGACTGGCGCTTTTGCAAGGACAGAAAAACCGCCCTCCTTGTAAACGGGTTTTTTTTTTAGTTTTATTGTTTTGCTCAGCTCACCCCCGGCCAGGCTGGGTTCATCTCCATCGCAGCTGGAAAAGCCATCCGATTAGCCTCAATGAGGACTAGGAGACTGAGTCAGCACTCAAATGCTATTCCAACCAAGAAGTGGCCGGACTCCGGGCTGGGAGGCAACTTGCCACTCTCCCCTCCCCTCCCCCCTCCCCTCCAACCAGTTCCCAAACTTTCTCCCAGTTTGGAAACACTTCAAAACCTAAGGCTTGATTTCCAGACCGCTGGAAAGAAAGAAATTCTCCCTTCCCTGGGCTCAACTCAGCTCCCTTCTCCCCCCCCCCACCCGAGCCAGACCTGTCTTGGTGGCCACCACACTTACGCGCTCCGGGTCCAGGTGAGGACAAGCGGCGAGGGTGGGCAGAGTCGCCAGGTGCGTTGCGGTGGGCACCGAGGGCGCCGCTCTTTTCTGCCGCGGTTGGGGGGGGGGGAAGAAGAAGGGGCTCCAAGCCGCGGAAAGAGTTCCAGGGAGGCAGGTGGCCCCGCTTTAGCCCGATTCTCGAGAGCCCCTATGGGGTGGGGGTGTGAGCGTTATGGGATGGCCTCGCAGCTCTCGCTTCTGCCCGCCACCGTCGCCTTCTAGCTCGCGGCAAGCGCAGGAGCTGCTCGCCCGGCTTCTGAAAAGCAGCCAGCCAGCCGGCGGGGAGGGGAAGCCTCCCCCCCCCGCCATTAATATCTATAACGCCACCCGCAATGCAATTTGTCTGAATGTTCATTTTTACTGGTGATCTCCCTTTGCCAAAAAAAAAAAAAAGGAAAAGAAAGTGGGCTTGATTACAGAGCTGGGGTTCCGTGCGCGCCCTCGATGCGCCGAGGTGGAACCGAGCGGGGCAGGCGGGGAAGGAAGAAGCGGAGCTCGGGCCAAAGAGGAGCGCGTGCGTGTCTCGGGGGGCTCGTGCGTGCACGTGGGGGTGAGTGATTGTGCGTGTGATGTACACACACACACACACACACATATTTATATATTTCCCCCCCCACCCTCCGGTTGTTTAAACACGCCAAAGGCTTCGTGCGCGCCGCCATTAGTGTTAAATATATGGCTAATTATGCGTATGAGAATTAAACATCAGTGTTATGCTAATGGGGGCGCCTTCAGCTGTGGATCAGAGCACTTGAGACTAGCATTTAATCAAGTGAATCAGTAACTAATACAGCTGCACGTGTGAACTTTCCGCAAGATCAGCCCTCTCCCCACCCCTAAACCCCCACCCCTTCCTCTCCCAGGACAGCCCGCTCCGCCCGGCATCTCAATACACACACACAGACAGAGAGAGAGAGATCGTGAAATGAGGAGTGAAATAATTAGCTGCCGATGCTTTCTAATTATTAGACCTCGGAAAGTCAGTGGAGATTGCACCCTGGAGGCCTCGCCTGGCGACGGCGTGGAAACTATTTTGATGCTTTGCTCAACTGGAGGCAATGGGAAAAAATAGAGGAAGGAAGGAAGGAAGGAAGGAAGGGAAGAAAGGAGGGAGGGAGGGAGGAAGTTAGAAAGATATCAGGTCACTTCAGCCCACAGTCTCCCCCTTTTTCTGTGCGACTTGAATTCGAAAGTAGTCCTGTTGTTCTCATAGGGCGGGGGGCATCAAGTTGGGATTCCCCCCCCCTTCCATTTTCAACCTCAGGCTGCTCAGGCAAACTCATAGGAAAGCGAAAGTGCCCATTATTTAGAATTTATCACCAAGGGCAGGTTTTCTTTCTTAATCGCCTGGCCCTAGTACTTTAGCTTGAATTGTGAAAAACCGTCCACGGCCACCACTAGTCAGAAAATTAGTCTGCAACTAACCTGCTGCTCGGGGGCGGGGGGGGGGCGGGGGGGGTTTAGAACACAGCAGCTTTCCCACAGTCCCCTCTCCTCCCTTCAGGACTTCAACTTGGGGAAGAAAAAAAAAAGGAACCAAGGTGGACCGGGTCTTACAATAGATTGCTTTGGAGTGGGGGTCGCGAGGAGTCAATCCCGTGACTCTAAAAGCGGGCAACCCCCTTCCTAAATTGGGCTAATAATCCAACCGAGTCGAAAAGCTGACTTCACCCCTTTCAAGACCCCGCACGAGGTCCGCTCCCAACTCGGTGGGTGAAGCGGTGACAGTGACCTGACCTGAACCAACCCCCAACCCCCCCAACGAGTGACCTCTCCGCGCTCGACTTGGGCTTCCGATGCTCCGGCGGTACCTTTTTCCTTCCTGGCGGGGCGCTTGGCAGTCCCTCCCGCTCCACCGGCCCCTTCTCGCGCGCCAAATGCAGCCCCCGGGAGGGGAGGGGAGGGGGGGAGAAATCACCTGCCCCGCCAATTGCGCGCGCCTGCAAGGAGGGGCCTGGTCGGCCTCGCCCCGCCACCCCTCCTGCCAACCTCACCTCACTTTTGCTGCTTGAGAACCGAGCACCGGCCCCGCAGCCGGTGGCCGCTCCGAGAAACAGCCCCCCCCCACGCACACACACGCACACACACACACACACACACCTGAAAGGCTTTGAGGGGCAGAAGGAGCAAAGTTGGGGTGGGGGCCCTGAGGGGAGGGGGAGGCCCTCATGCTTCTTTTTTTCCAGCTTACACATAGTTGCTGTCACACCGGGAGGAATACGCGGGAAAGTCAAGCAGAGCCGCGGGGGTGAGGGGTGAGGGAGCCGGGTTCCATCCGCCCCAGCGGAGAAGAGGAGCGCCACAGAGGGCCTGGTTTGCGAGCCTTCCTCTCCCGCATCCTTGGCGGCGGCGAAGGGGGGGGGGGGTTTTTTTGGGGGGGGGGGCGGCTGGAAGGGTCCCGCGGCATCGTCTCCTCCGCCCAGGCGAAGTCCGTCTTTCTCGCTCGCCCGGTCCAGCCGGCGGAAGCCCCCTAAAAGCGTCTCGGGCCAATCGCGAGCGCTTCTGCCAGACGGCGGGCCAATCAGCTCGGCGAGCTCATGCATATTCATGGCGTTTGGCTGAGTCAAAGCTTTTAGGCGAGTTTGTGTAGAATCCCCCCAGCATCTCATGCCTTAGAGACACTTTTTTTTTTTTTCCAAAGAGCCAAACTCCATTTTCTTATGAATGGAAAGTGAAAAGCCCCGGGCCTCTTAAATTGGGTCCCGAGAACGCGAGGCCGGGAGAGAGACCCCCCCAAAGACGAGAGAAAGAGAGCGAGCGAGAGCGAGCAAGAGCGAGCGAGCGAGCGAGCGAGGCAGGGAGAGCGAGAGCGAGCGAGCCACCCGAGTCAGCGGCGAGCAATGACCATGACCACCATGCCAGAGAGCCTAAATAGCCCCGTCTCAGGCAAGGCGGTCTTCATGGAGTTTGGCCCGCCCGGGCAGCAAATGCCTCCGTCGCCCATGGCCCACGGCCACTACTCCATGCACTGTTTACACTCGGCCGGCCACTCGCAGCCGGACAGCTCGTACAGCGCCGCGTCCTCTTTCTCCAGACCGCTGGGCTACCCCTATGTCAACTCGGTCAGCGGCCACTCGGGCAACCCTTACATGAGCTCGGTGCAGTCCTACCCCAACAGCACCAGCTTGGCTCAGACTCGGTTAGAGGAAACAGGTACGTGCCATTTGCCGGCGAGAGGGGAGGGCAGGGCAGGGAAGGGAGGGGGGGTCGGTAGGGAGGGAGGGGGGGGCAAGGGGAGGGGAGGGGAGAAATCCTAAATGGACACCCCCCCACACCTGAAAAATACGGAGATGGGGAAGAGAAACAAAAAGAAACGCAGCCCAACTGAATTGGGGTGGGGGTGTTGTGTAAGATTTTTCTTTCCTCCCTCCAAGCCCCCTGGTTTCTGCCCCAACTACCCTCAAGGGAACAGCCTCGTTTCCAAGATCTCTGGAGTTTACACACAAAGCCACACCAGGCCCGGCTGGCAAAGGCCCGAAAGCATTTCCTCTGCACTCTTTCCAACTCACCCCCCCCCCCAGATGTGCGCCTATTAGGCTCGGCAATTATTTATTGCGTCGCGCTATAAACAATGTATGCAATTAAGGGTAATTAAACCTAAAGTGCCGCCGCCTGTAAAAATAGAAAAACTTTTCCTTTCCCCCCCCCCCCCTCTTCCCCTTCCCCACGGGCGATGAAACTCCGGGGCTGCCAACAATCCCTTCGCCTCTTGCACAACAGCCGCCTCATCTCCGCCCGACTTCGGGGGCTGCCGGTGGGGCTTCGGGGCTCATTAAAGCGTGACTGATTGGAGGGCGGAGGAGGGAGCCTGACACCGGCTGCTCTCGGGGCCCTTTGGAGGCCAGTGCGGGGCCGGGGCCAAACCTCTGACCCGGACTGACTGAGAGGCTGCGTGGCTGGCGTTGATCCTCGCCTCTCCGCCTAAACCAGCGAGGCGCCCAGGTATCTTCTCTCACGGGCCTCTATTTGTCACTTCTTCCAGGCACCGAGACAGAGAAAAGCACCGTGGTGGAAGGCGGCGAAGTGCGCTTTAACGGCAAAGGGAAAAAAATCCGGAAACCCCGGACGATTTACTCCAGCTTGCAGCTCCAGGCTTTGAACCGGCGCTTCCAACAGACCCAGTACCTGGCTTTGCCGGAAAGAGCCGAGTTGGCCGCCTCCTTGGGCCTCACCCAGACTCAGGTAGGCAAAGACGGGGCCGGTTTCCCCTCCTTCATCCCGGCCCTGGGACGCTCTTCTGTTCCCCCCCAGGAGGCTTCGTGCTTTTCCCATCCGAGCTTCCTTCGGCAAGGAAGTTTCTTGGGGTCCGGTAGAGCTGAAAAAAAAGCTCGGCCAAAGGATTCTCTCCTCTCTATCGCATGTCTGGATGAAGCCATCGCCCCAAATCTGAGAAAGCGCCCTAAAAACACATTAAAATACGTTCTTTGCTTTACCTGGTGCTTTTGCTTGTTCTGGAGCTGTTGAAGCCTTTGGGCGAGCTTCCCTTCTCCTCTTTCCAAAGCACCTTTGGCTCAAAAGGTCTCTACTCTCCCCAAATAGGATCCAGAGGTTTTAAGTTTCTCAGGGTTCAGAAATTCCCTTTCAGGACGTGGAGAAACCCGGGCCAGAATCGCAAACAACCGGGCTCCCTTTCCAGAAATCCGACCCAAAGGAAAACCACCTACCCTACCATTCGTTCCTATCTCTCTCTCCCCCCCCCCATCCTTTCTGGGTCAAAACCCTCAAACCTCGTAAATAAAAAAAAAAATGGGGAGTTTAATTGACGCGGGACTTTTCTTTGGCCTGGGCCTTTCCCGGTTTAGAAATGAGTGTCCTTGCTGTCTTTGTGGCACAGTTGCTCTCTGTTCCGGCCGCATTTCGAGGTCTTAAGCATCCACGGCACCCCGATTTTTAGCCACGTGTGGACGGGGGAAAGAAAGTTTTTGGCCTTTCCAGATCCTTGGATACCGGGCAAGGGGTAAACACGTTAAAAACGACCTGGTTAGTCTCTGGACAGCAGCTGACTCGCTTTCCCCCATTGAAATAGGGAAGAAAACTCGGTGTTCGCCTCCAGCTCCCTCGACCTTTCTGTCCGGGGTCGCAGCCAAGCGCTGCCTGGCGCCTTGGGGCCGAGACCGGATTCCTCGGAGCATGATTGGGGGGTGGGGGTGGGGAGAGAAGAGCCATGAAGGAGCTCCTTTCTTGGGCCCGAGGGTGACTTAGGCAGGGAAGGCTTATGACTTTTTGCGCTGTGTTCTGAACGTTTCATCTTCCTGGGACTTGGGGGGATTGCAGGTCAAGATCTGGTTCCAGAACAAGCGCTCCAAATTCAAGAAGCTAATGAAGCAAGGGGGAGCCGCCTTGGAAAGCAGCGCCCTGGCCAACGGGAGGTCGCTGTCGGCCAGCTCTCCGCCCGGACCGCCAGTCTGGAACACCAGCTCGTCGTCGGGTAAGAGCTCCACGGGAACCCCGGGCACCTACATCCCCAGCTACACGTCTTGGTACCCTTCGGCCCACCAGGAGACTATGCAACAGCCTCAGCTGATGTGAGAAGCGAAGGGTTGGCCGGCTCCGGTTTGTGTTGTTTTGGTTTTTTTTTTTTTTTTGCTTTGGCTTTTGTGTTTTTTGTTTTGTTTTTATTTTTTACTTTTGCAACGTTTGAACCGATAAGCCGATCGCCCCATCGGCTGCAACCACCGAACGAACGAACGAATGAACGAACGAACGAAGAAAAAAACAAAACAAAGGCAACCTTGTTGGTCTGGGGAAATCGCACCGCGGAAGGAAGCCGCCTTCGTCCCCCCCTTAGAAAGCCTGAGCCAGCCGGAGCGTCTCTGAATCGCCGACGGTTTTTGGGTCGCAGCTCCCGAGACAAGCACAGATGCCAGGCGGGGCTGGTTCCCACTGCAGACAGCTGACGCGGCGGCCCCAGATCGTCCCCCCAGCCACGCCGGATGACAGCCTGCCAGCAGCAGCGCGGAATCCGGCCCTCGGCATGGGTGGACCATCAGGACGCCGGCAGCAAAGAACCTGTTTGTCCGAGGAAGGGAGGGGGAGCAGGGTCCTCTCTCTTGTCCGTCTTTCTGTCCTGTCCAAATGACTCTTGGCCATTCCCTTCAAATCATCCTTTCTTTCTGGGCTTCGCCAAGGAACAACCTTTTCCTTCCTTCCTTCCTTCCTTCCTTCCTTCCTTCCTTCCTTCCTTCCTTCCTTCCTTTTCCTTCTCAGTGTTCGTTGTAGTCCTCTCGGTGTACATTTTTTTTTTCCTTTTGTCGAATGGGAAAGGGGATTTTTTAAATTATTATTATTTATTGACTTAAAACTACCACTATGAGAGTCCTAAACATTTTTTAAAAATAAACTTATGGGCGGAATTGTTTTGCAAAAGTGATGCTGTGTTCAGGCCGTTTGTTTCAAAACCAACCGCACACACTGAAGGGACCGTCTCATTATGGCTGCTGTTTGTTTTTCCGCTTTGGGGCATCCCCGCACATTGGATCGAAGGAAGGCCATGGGATTCGGACTGCAAACACATTTGCAGAAACCTAGTCTTACGGCTTTTTAAAGCCGATCGGGTTTTATTTCTCGGATTCATTTTCATGGATCTCAGTTGAAAGGGTAAAGTGGGTTGCCACGGGATCCACAAAATCTGATGATGTGAAAGTGGTTAAGCATGTCATATAATTTTATTTTCATGTTATTTTGTCTATTGCTCAAAAGGGTAAGTAGTTTTGAAAGACACGTGCAGGATGTCATCTCTTTCCAAGGCTGGGAAATTTGTAAACTACGATCTTAAGCACTTTACTTGACATGGAGTTATAGAACTGGATGGCATTTATAACGGATGTATCGCTGGCCTTCCTTTAAGGGGAGGGGGCAAGTTGGCAAAAAACACAACAATTTGCTTTAGAAGGCCGGCTCACGTTAAGTTGGTGATTGCGTTACTTTTCCTGAAGCAATGTAAGTGGGAAGGGGGGGGGGCACGACGAAAAACTAATTTGTCTTTAGGCTGTTTTAAACCTTTTTGATTCATTTTCCACTCACAGCCTTTTTTGCCTGCCCTCCCCCGCATTCATGTTCGAGTTCAAGATCTCAATATATCTCGCTAATTCATAGCATGGTTTAGTTCTTTGGGCTTTTAACAAAAGCTTCTGGTTTCTCTCTTGCTTTCTCTTCTTCCTCCACAGGGCCATTTAATTAGGAATAACTATAAAAATACCTATTTTTAAAAAAAAAATAAAATAAAACCCGAAATCTTTAATGAATTTGCTTGGGGCAAAACAGAAGCAAACCAATTATGTGGAGAAATTCTCTCCCACGATACCTGGAAGTCTGCTGTTCTCTCTGAGGTTTATTATGAGTCTGGTTTTATAATGAGAATGGCCTAGCATTGCTTTATTGGGGGTTGGGGGGGGAGATGGAAAAGAGGATAAGACAAGACTCCCTGTTGCCCAGAAAGGAATCCCTCTTACCCAGAAAGCACTCCGTCACAACAGTAGCTGCAAAAGCATTTTTAAATACAACGCAAAAGCAATTATAAAGATGCCCAATGGAGATGGCAGTGCTTATTCCCAACCCTGATCAAAGCTGGAAGGGCTGGAGTCTTTGAAGATTAGGTTTCCCCACGGTCCAGCATATATATGAGTACCCCAAGGGTGGTGGATCTGGTGCTCTGAATCTGGGTCTGGATTTGGGTGTGGGAAGGAACACCCTGAAGGAATATGTACTTGGTACCCAGAAAAAGAGATCTCACCGGGCTCTAAAGGAAGGGAAGTAACAACAATAATAATAATATTTGATCAGGATAGTATTATTGTTGTTATCCTTAACTTAGCGTTCACAAAACGATGGTTTGTTTGCCTGTCCTCTGCTACCTTGGTCTGCTTGGCGTTTACTCTTCCTAGGAGTCCAGGCCAGGGAAGGGCCACTCACGAATGACCTCCTGAATGATCCTGATCCAGCGGTAGGTCTGAGAGGAGATCTCTTTGCCCCAGCCCTAACGGATTTAATGTTAGCTTCCCCACCCCCACCAGGAGCCTGGACAGATAGTCTTCAGGAGGAAAGCTGGCCTAAAGAACTGTCTCCAGGGGCTGACGGACAAAAAAGTTGGGACGGGGAATTTATCAGGATCGCAAATGGAATGAAGAAAGGAAAGTTGTGCGGCCCAGGAATGTTTGGGCCAAGCAAGCAGCCAAAGGCACTCATTCCCGATGCCTCCCGCTCTTTGGGGGCCTAGCACTAGCGCACGAAAGCCATCCAAGCCCCTCTCAAACTGCCTGGTGCCTCTTCTCTTTTCCTGCAGTAACCCAAAGCTCCAACCTCACCCAGTCTGGAAGCGGCTTCAGGGTAAGGCGCAGGTTCCTCGCTTGGAGGATTTTGCAGGCAGGGAAAAGCAACCGATAACTTCTCTCCCACCTATCCAATCCCGCCCCCCCCCCGTGACAGGAACTGCGCCTTGCTAATAAACTCGAGGAGAGTTTGTGTGGGTAACAGGAAGGGCAGCAAGTAAGGCACTCTAGAGAAAGACCTGGGGATTGGAATTTGGGATTTGGTTTCTTTTCTGCTTGCGTGTTTACCAGTGAAGTTTTGTGGGATGGAATGGAACCTAAGGAGAACCGGTTTAGAATAACTTGGAGATCTTTGCCTCTTATATTTTCAGAGTCTTGGCGGATTTCAGGGAACTGAGAATTTCCTTCCTTCCTTCCTTCCTTCCTTCCTTCCTTCCTTCCTTCCTTCCACAAGAGCTAAAGCAGAATCTCTCCCAAGGCTGCCTCATGTTCCGTGAAATCTCTGTTCTCAGCTCCGTACAAACCCAAAAGGCCGACAGCCATTCTGCTCCGAGGCAGGGCCTTTCCGTCCCTGGAGCTAAGACAGGGAGGCTTAAAAACCCGCCTTCAAGGTTGGGCCTTGAAGCAAACGAATTCCCCGGGGCGAACCCCGCTGGCAAAGATCACGACGACCTACCGGGCGGGCGGATCGAAGGGAAAGCTCGTCAGATCTCGGCTGGGATCAGAGCTCCCGGCCCCGCACCTCGAACCGGCACGATCGGGAGGGGGGGGGGTGTCTCGGAGCTGTAGAAAGCCACCCTTCCCTTGCCTTCCCGGCTGAGATTGCGCATCCACTGGCAAGTTTCTTTCTGGGGTGGGAGAGAAGCCGGAGGAGAGGAGAGGCTAAAGTGGGTGTGGATCGGGCGGGGGTGGGGAGTGGCTTTCCAGGAGGCTGCTCGAGGGAAGGAAGCGGGTGAGAAATTGTATCGATTTTTGTTTTGACACGCACCCATTTTTCAATTCTGGGCGATGAGTGATCGGATGATGGGTAAGCTCCGGCTAATGCACTTCCTTGAGAAGAGAGGAGAGCGCAGGCAAGGCGGAAAAGGCGCAAGAGCGCACGGCTGATCGGGGCTGGGCCTTGCGCTCAGGAGGAGAGGCGACGATGGCCGTGGGAGAGTCCCGGCTCCCGTGTACCTTTGGCGGCGAAGAAAGGAGAATTGTCCGACGGGCTTTTTGCAACCAGGGGGCTGCTTTCCTGGAGGTAAATAGCTGGGATGTGGCTGCGGCAATCCGGGATTGCCAGGGCGACCCTTGCACTAGGAAGGAAGGAAGGGCCTCGAATCGACTCCAATCCAAGCCAGGGGAAAGGGCCCCGCGGTCAAACAAACTCGCCCCGGAAATCCTCTCCAACGCCCCGGCTTTTCTTAATTCAATCAAGTCGAGCTAACCCGTCCAAATGGAGAAATTATTAGTTTTGTCCCGGTGAAGGCGGGCTTGAGTTACGGCGCGTTTTATAAAACCGTACCGTTTGCAAATGCTAATCTCGCCGCCGCAGAGCTCATTAATTCTGCCTTATTCCTGACAAGTAGTTCATCAAATATCTGATTCGAAATTCATCATAATGAGGATATTAATTAAACTCTGAATCATCCGAAGGGGCTTCTATTGAAACAATACCTCATTACAATGATTAAAAATTGATGCCGAGTACTACGCCTTTTCCAACCGCGGTCTCTCCGCAAACAACACAGTCCTACCGGATAAAGCTGTCAATGGTAAAAAAAAACAAAAAAAAAACACCGCAATTTAAGAATAGGTAATTTCTCTCCCGCATGGGGGGGAGGGTGGGAGAGAAGCGTCTGCCTCTCATTTCCCAACACTTCTGCAGTAGGTTACACACAGCTTAATGATAATCAGAATGACTCCTTTTCTCCTAAAAAAGACCCCAAAGTGCGCGTGCAGCTGCAAAACCCAAGAGGGTCAGCATCATTTCACTGTATTCTCTTCTTGATTACAAGCCGAGCCCATCAAACACAACATAATTACAGTAATTTCAGGTTTATTTATTCTAATGCAGTTTCCCCATCTCTCTGGTAATTATGAGCAATTTTTTCGCCCGGGGAATCTTTTTGCATTAACAAAAGAGATAACGCACTGAAAGCCAAATTTGCTGTGCATTGAGAAAGGAGGAATAAGGGAGGAGAGAAAGGCACAGAGAGAGGGAGAGAGAGAGAGAGAGAGAGAGAGAAAGAGAGAGAAATGAAATCCGTGCGAACTGCCATCTCTCCCCTCTCTATACTGGAGCGCGCCAAATTGCTTGCAGGTGTAAGGCTCATGCTTGTCAAAAGGAAAAGGGGGCTTTCGCATTAGCAAATGCACAATGTTGAAGTAATGAAGACAGACTCCCGCAAAATGGGCAAGCAGATCCCTCTTTAATATGTCCCAAAGCCCCCCCACCCATCAAATCTCATTCCTCTCTCTCTCTCTCTCTCTCTTAAAAGACCCTCTCCATAGCTGGAAATGCGTCGGCCTCCCCCAGCAAAGGCAGCTGCGTCCTGCATTTTGAAATAGTTGAAATCTAAGGAACCCATCCAAGATGACATCCATCTGCCTTCTTCTAGTTGTCCCACCCTATCTCGCCTCGCGGACACCGAACGGCTTTCTCTAGTTGTCTTCGCTATTGGTTTCTCTCTCTCTCTCTCATTTCTGGGGGGGGGGGGGGGGTTGTAGTTGGAGAAAGTTATTTCTCCTGCCCACGATCTTTCCCCAAGTCCGCAACTGTCACCATATGTGCGTCTATGTATGTGAGGGTCTATCTCTGTCTCTCGATAGACGTATCACATCATGCGCATGCACAAAGCCACGCGAGCTCCCCTCCCCCCCTTTTAAGCATGGTCAATTAAAGTTACAAGACAAAGCTCTTTAGATCGGCGCAGATCAAAGATGAACGAAAGGGCAATCAAGAAATAAACGGGCTTCCTCGTTCCTAGGCTCGCCTTACATTTCTCCACTATACATCCTGTCCCTCTTTTCTTCCTCCCCATTAAAATCAGGTAGGGCAAAGGCGGGGTCGGCAAATCATTGGTCCCCCAGGTCAGCTGCACTAGCCCCAGAGCTTCACTTAGTCGCACCCTCCTCTCCTCTTCCCCTCTCTTCCTCTACGCCCCCCCACCCCCACACACCTATACCTACAGCTTAGTTCACAGGCGACGCTATTACTGTACAGAACAGCAGAAAACCCCAGATGGGCTTCGTTTGACAGGCTGGACCACTAAGCGATACTAAGACGGGTGTAGGTGTACCCCTCCCCATTTTCCCTCCTTCGCTATAAACTTCCCGAGATCGAACGACGGTAGCCCTCGCTTCCCCAATCTTGCACATCCACGACGCGCGAGCGCGCTCTCACTCAAACATCCACATTTCATTCGCACGCCTGGAATTATCCCCGACATTCGCCAAGGAAGTTTCGATCGAAGAATTAGCAGGCGCGGAACGAACCGTGGTCCTTTTTTCCGTCTTCCTCTCCGTAACGGGAAAATCGAGCGTCAAAATGCACATATGAAAGAGAGGGGAGAAAAGACACTGCCCCACCCCACCCCACCCCATCCCGGGAAGGCGTTTTCCCGCCACCTTTGCTTACCTCTTAGCTGCCAAATGTTCCATATGCAATCCTGACCCGGTTCATTCGCTTTAGCTCAAGGTTCGATGCAGCAAATTGCTGCAGGAAAAGGTTGGGGAGACACTGGAAAATAGAGGGCTGGGTTCGGGGGTGTTGGTGTGAGAAACAGCCCTGCCACCGGAATAAATATCCAGAGAACACCCCGGAAAAAAATGGGCTCGAGGGACCTTGGAAACTGCCGCTGAGCGCAGGAGGGTTTTCGCAGCCCGGCTCTTGCAGAATATCACTGAAATTTTCTGCTATATAGCCTCTGTCTTTATAGCTGATGGGAAAAAAATTGCAGATTATTAGCATAAATGTTTACTCTTCATTACGCTGATGACATTGTGCACTCGAGATCTTGGTAATCTTTGGGAAAATTATGAGTAATTTTTTAAAATTTTAAAGCAGCAGCAGTTACCGTGCAATTCAGGCTAATTCTGCGTAGGCTCCGAACGGATATAATTATCGAGGAGTCAAGATGTTATGCTAAAAACTATGCATTGATATTCCCATTTATTATGTACATACAACTTTGACAATGTTGATGCTTGAAATAGCAGGAAATTGTCTTGCGCAAAAATTACAGTCCATATTAGGACATGTGAAATTGCGAAGAATTATATAGTAATTGCAGGCTTTCAGATGGGAGAGCCAGAATGCTCAAACTAGTGCAAATGTGGATAAAATTACAGATCAGAGCAAAAATTAGGGGAAAAGGGGGTCTGGGATTTTTCAAGTTGGCTATAGGATTCCGGAAGTGTCTAATGCCACATGATTGCTCCAGCTTTAGGGGAGATATTCATACCTCAAATAGCTCTTGGGCCAGAGCGGCTTTAATTGAATTTCTTGGGTGTTCTATCCCCCCCCCACTTTTAATAAGGCTAAATTAGCAAATTGCCTACCGAATGGCATTTTTTTAAACCAGGTCCTCCCCCCACCATGTCCCCACCGCCACCATTTTTCAGGGGAAAATTACTCCCTTTAAGGAAGTTGCATTCCAGGGTGACCTCCGCAGCCGTCCCCCCCCCTCTCGGAAAATGTGTGGGGAGAAATTTAATTACATTGCTTTACCTCTCCCTCTCCCTCCTCCTCCCCGTTCCCTGGGGAAGGCCAATGTAAGCAGCAGTCATGGGAGTCTGTTTTGAAGCCGGTATTGTGGCGAGGCAGGGCAGGGGGAACGGGAGGAGATGGCCCCTTCAGTAGCCCCCGGGAAACGGGGTACAGCTAAAGACAACCGGAGATGATGGGTGGGTGAGTGGAGTGGGAATCAGCAGAAAGTCAGGTGGTCCGATCTCTCTAGATCTAGGAAAAAGAAACGTGGTAGCGGGTAGGTGGTTGCGTGGGGTTCGACAAGGCCCAACACATCCCTCTGTTTTCCGAGCCCTACTCCTATCTGCGGGGAAATCGTTTAAAGGTAAATAAACGAAGCCACAACGGAGCGAAAGATTTGAAAGGGAGCCCTTGTGCTAAAGGCATCTCTTTCGCGGGCTGAATTCTACCGGGTTTCTCCCCGATCTCTTTAATTTTAAAAACCAGGCTGGGGAAAAGAGATTCCCTGCATGTGGACACGGAAACATCTATTTTGTATTCTCGGTGTATTTTAGAGTCAGTAACAGCAGGAACAACAACGCGATATAATATAATACAATGCAGTACAGTCCAATACATCGGCAAAGGAAGAATAGACGGTTGGATTCGTAAAAGCCAAGCTGATCCACACCACCCTCTAAGATGGCACGATCTTGACGTGCAAATGCCCACATCTACCTAAATATCATTTTCAGGAGATGAAGGTCGGATCTCTCTTCCAGTCGCAATCTCTCTGCCACCTGGAGCTCCCGAGGGGAACGGCTTGCAAACAGGAGATTTTGCTATCCCAGAAGGTATAGGATGATTTCTTCTGAGGCGGATCGGGACCAGGGACCAGACTTGTCTGCAGTCTGATCTCTTGGTCCCAAAGAGAGGAAAAGATCCCTGGCCACCGATACCTATTTGACTCTGTAATTCCTTTGCCCAAGTGCTGATCTCCAACCAATAATAATAATAATAATAATATCATGAATGTCCCAACTCGACAAATGGGTAAAAATGCCAGTCTAACCATCTGGCTGAATGGGCAACTAACCATAATGTCATATTGCAGTACTGATATTTCCATTGCAAGTATTGAGACGCAAAGCTGTGGCACAGAATGTTTCTCACAAACACACATACCAAATCAAAAATTGCTTTTCTTTACAATTGTCAATCAATGTAGCTTCTTAATATCATGGACATGGGTCTTTAGATCATAAGCTACACAGAATCCTTCCTTCCTTCCCCTCCCTCAAATATACAGCCAAGTGAGTCATTTCCAAAAGCTGTGATCTAGCATTCTTGGGCATCTAGATCTAAAAACGTTAACTTCAGTTAGTTTATCTTCTGACTTAACTCCTTAAGGGTGACCTTAAAAATAAGCCAGCTTTCTCTGGCTTCCAAGGTATTTCATCCATAGAAAACCCCATTGAGGAAGATTAAGGTTTATTTGGGGAGGCGAGGGGGGAGTAGGATTCTAATGCATGGCCAAAATGTCATTGTAAACATCATCTCTTTCCTTCCCTCCTTCTCTCTCAAAACACACTATGCTCTCTCATTCTAGATATTATTTTAGTATTTTAATTTTCAAACCACCCCATCTTGCAGAAAAGCAGAATAAAATCTCTTGAAATAACTGGGTTTGTCTGATTAAGCCTGATGGAAATCTTTTATTTACTAAATATATCCCTGTTGTGAGATCACAGTCCTGGTAGGATCAGATATCTTTTGCCCAGATCTAGGGAACAAGTAGGGCTCCTGTTATTTTTATATGCCTGTGTGTGCATTGTGGATAGCCAACATGATTGCCAACCGCAGATGACAGATATGGCACAAGAAGTTGTGTGCATTGGGCGCATTGTGTTGTTTCATTGAGCAATGTTTCCAAGTGAGCAGTAATTTAATAAATTATATTTCCCATTCTGAAATGTACAAAGCAGACTTAAACATAATGTTTATTCATCCCCCCTTCCAATTTACTGGGGTTTTGTCTGTCAGGGTGAATGCACTCTGGGCCTAACTGGTGTAGTAGGTAAGTAATGTAGGATCTTCCATGACTGGAGGCCAAGACACACTTCCTAGGCCAAACCACCGCATAAGGTGGTTGTTTTGAAGAAACGTCGGACAAGGAAGCCCAATGCAGACTGTCTTGTGTTCCTGTTTGACAAAAAAGCACAATAAAAATGTAAACAATCGTTAATATATAACGCTGACAACATCCAGCCAAGAATAAGTGGAGGGCTTTCGAGGGGGAAGGCCAGTTTTTCGGGCGCACGTGGCTGGCAGCGCTTCGGCCTACGCTCTGACCGGCGCCCTCCCAGCAATTTCGGCCCTTCCTTTGGAAAGAAGTGGCTAGCGGGCATTCGCCAAATGGGTGCCTTCTGGTCACCCTCTGGACTCTGGAGGGAGGGCTGCGACCCTTGGTTCCTGCGGAGGCCGAAGTTCCTCCGTTTCCCGTCTCCATTTTTCACCAGGCCGCGTTCGCCACAGAGGAAAAAAAAAAAGGGGGGGGGAGCGGAAGGAAGACTCCTCGGAAGGATCACAGGGCCCGTTGTCTCGCAGGGAGCCCGGGCTGTGTGGGAAAGTCTCCTCAGCGCCGCGCCTTAGGCGGCCGAAGAGCTTCGCTCAGGCCCCGCCCTCGGGCTCTCCCGCCTAGGCTCCGGAGCGCCGATTCTCCCACGCTCTCCTCCCCCGCTTGGCTCCGGCGTTCGCTTCCTCCAGATGCCCCTTTCCTCCCTTCCCTCCTTCTCCCTCCGCTCCGCTCCCTCCCGCCGCGTCTCGCCTTCTTCCCGAGGCCTCCTGCCTTCTTTGTTCTTCGCTGGGCCCTTCTGAGATGGGCGCCGTGCGGGCTCCCTTCATGGCAAAACGGGAGTGGGGTGTGATTGTGCGCGCGTCATTTTCCCGCCCTCGCCGTCTGCATTGGGGTGGGGGGCACGAGATATGGCGCCCTTCGAGCGAAGCCGGGCTCTTTAGGGCGCAGGACTTGAGGCGCTGCGCCACTCCTGGAAAATAAAAGGCGGCCTCACTTCGCCTCGAAACTTACTGAAGTGTGGCCATTTTGTCCCCCTTCCTTAAGCTTGGTTTTTTTTCCCCCCAAGATGGCTCTGAGTAGGCCTGACCTGCTTCGCCCGGGTGGTTTTTAGCCTGATAGTTGGTGGGAACGCTGCTGTTGTGTTTTTTTGGTGGGGTTTTGTTTTATTTTTGTGTGTGTGTAGTGTTGTTTTTTGACAAAACCAACCACGACGGGGCTTCTGATTGGAGCGGAAGGGAACAACACCGCCCACATCCCCGCTTATCTTCCGGAGTTTGTCCGCCTGCTTTGTTCCGCCCCCCACCCTATTTGTCGTGCCAAGGCCGGTTGCGTGATTCCGACTCAGGCAGGCTGCACATTCACCGCCTCCGGCGCGTTATGCCTCTTAATCATCCCCTTTGGCAGCGCAGTCATCTCTTCCCCCCCCCCCCCCCCCACCCACCTTCCTTTTCCCACCCGCCACCCCGGGATGGCGCGAGCGGACAGCCGAGCGATTCACCCCTGCGTTCCCCCGTGGCGCGCCTGGAGGACAAGGGAGCCTCTGCTGAAAAAGGGCCCCGGGCTGACAGCCAAGCTTTGGCTCCTTCGCCAGGCTCCTGTCACTTTCCCGGCGTCTGCTTAGGTGCACCCCCACCCCACCCCCCACCTTTTCTCTCGTTCGAGGACAGATCTGCCCAAACAGCACCTTCCCAAGATGTTAAGAGAGATACGGGGGTTGCTTAATCTTTCTACTGACGCCGCTCCTGGCATTGCTGGAGGAGGAAGCGGCCCTTTGTCCGGGCAGGAAAGTAAAAATCGTTAGGGGGCTTTTAATCATTTCGGGAGAGGCGAAGTTCCACTTTGGAAAAGATCAGGCAGTAAAAAGGAATTATGGAGAGAGAGAGAGAGAGAGAGGGAGAGAGAGAGACTTCTACAACAGGGCTCCCAAATTTGCCTTTAAAAACGAAGAGTCTTCCACCTAATGCTTCCCTTACATCTTGGACTCCAATATTCTTTATCCTGTCTGTTGGCTGGGGATTATGGGAGTCGAAGTTCAATACAAAAAAAGGCACTAAGTAGAGAAAAACAAGTCTCTGATGGGTGAAATTCTTCCTCCTGCTCCTGTGCATCCACCCCCTCTCAAATCGGTCATGCCCATCATCAGAAAAAGAAAAACATTTTTTTTTCCTCCTAAAAACTGAAGCAACACAGCCTGGGATAGTTGTGGGAACTGGAACACCCGTTAAGGACTTTAAAAATGACTACAAAAGCGAGAGAAACAGGAAATTTATTGACATACCGGTAGCTAGTTCACATATTTTAAGGTCAGTGATCAGATTTGTCACTGAAACCCATCAGATAGGCTATTTGCCAACAGCCCGGCAAGTAATTTTATATGCAAGTCTGGACTTCATTCTTAACAGTTATTTGAAATATTAAGAAATAAATACCAAACACATGCCCAAAGGGTCAACTTGTACTATAAAATGTGAGCAAAGGGATAATCATCATCATAAAGAAATGAGGCTTCCTGAAGAAGCATCTTCCCCAGTAGACCCCAGCATAACCCAGGTGCAGCTGATGGAGCCTTACTTTGCATGGCACGGTAAAATACTTCTAAGACACTGAACCCTGGGACCTTAAAAAGATTTGCATTTGATTTGAGGGCTCCGATTGGGCAGGCAGCAACCTGTATGGTGAAGGGAAGGCAGTGAGAGCATCCCTTGGCCTCTCCTGCCAAATACTGAGCCAAAATAACCTGTTTGGCATTAATCTTCTAATGCTCCAGCATCCAACAAACTGAGAGATTCATTGTGGCATAAACTGTTAACAATTTATGAACCTTTGGGGGTGGAAGGTGGGGAGGACAAATACTATATACCGCGTTGCCTTTAAAGCCTGTGTATAGTAGCAATGTGCTGGATTTGGAATACAAGTGCAGTGAGTAGTGTAGAAGATTGTCACCCTCATCTAAGGAAAGCCTGTGACTTGAGAGGAAAATATAAATAACCAGCTAGGAAGCCAAAACGAGGCAACCGTGGAGTTGAAATGCCTTTTCCCAGATCTGCACCCTGTGTCTCTTGGGTGTGCCTCGGGTTAAGAGGAGGTGTCCCATTTCGTTCATCAAGAAAACCTCCTGCAAAAGCCAGCAGCCGCCTCGAAGCGCCCAAACAGGCCAAGCCGAAGGTATGCGGGGACTCCCTTCTCTCCGCTGCTGCTGGGGCCTGCTGATCACGAGGGAGACCGGGTCGCCTGCAGCTTCAGGAGCCGCCGTCACGCTGCCGGGATTGTAGCGCGGGAAGCCGCCAGGAGCCTGTCCGGCTTGCTTCCACGTCTAGTGGCGCCAGATCGCAGTGGGGTGGGGCCGAGTCTAGGCGAGCGAGAAGGCGCGTTGAGTGATTCAGGCTGGGCTGCCGAGGGAAGGCTGTCGCGGTCCTCCTGCCTCGGGGCGGGCGTGTGTGTGTATGTGTGTGTCTTTGTGTATGTGTGTGTGTGGACGGGACAATGCTGCTGGCAGTCTTGGCGCGACCCCGGCTGAGCTCCCCTGAATTTGTGCCCTCGCGGCTCTTGAACTACCCTTAAAGAATGCCCGACGCCGCCGTTCAACAAGTGCAGCGTTGGAGAAGCCAGAAGGCCGCCCAGAATCAGCCCTTCGGAGTCAGAATGGAGAGCATAGAGAGAATAGACAAAGTGCGTCTTTCTGCCTGAAGGGACGATTAGTTCCACGGAAGGAGCTAATTGGCGAGTAGCAGGAAGAACTGGATTTCGTTCTGGGAAACAGGCGCCTCCAAACTTCAAGCAGGCTCGAGGGGCTTCTCACTCAGCGCAGAGAGTCGGCCCGAATGTTGCAGGCGTCAGAAGACAGAAAAACGACCGATCGAGCCAAGTACGGTGCAAACAATAATTTATTTAAATAATCTCTTCATATTGTAAAAGTAACATTGAACGATTTTTTTTTTGTTTGGTTTTTGTAATAAATAACCAAGAACGTACATTTTTTTTTAAAAAAAAAACGTTTTTAAAGGTTTTTTCAACTATGAATTGGGAAAATTCATTAGCTTGTACTTTGTGGTAGTGAAGATGAAAGGAATAAAACAGAATACACAAAAGAACGTATGGAAGCTGCCCGGAGATAAAAAGAGGGAAAACAGATGTCATAAAAAAAAATTATTGGTTCACAAAACATGAACAAATGTAGCCTGTCCAATAAAACTGCCCCTCCTCTTTTTAGGTAAAGAGGTTGGGAAGAATTAGCACAAACAACTCTATTACAAACATATATATATATGTATGTATATATTTATATCTTTTTCTTGCGAAGAAAAAGTCCTGCAAACATTTAAAAAAAGATAATTTAAACACAGCTGGGTTTCTTTTTTTTTTCCATTTTAAATATCTACATATAAAAATTATTTATCTTTTCCCCCCCAACATCAAAATGAGGTCATCAGCAAAGGCACCTATAAAAACGTATAAAAAAATAAACAAAATTAAATAAGAAATTTTGCACTAGCGATTCGATGAAAAATGGGAGAAAAGTGGGTTCTGTGCTCCCCGCGTGCACAGTTTTTAAAGTCTTTATTTGCTGCAGACTAGGCGGGATACGTAGAAGGTAAAAAGCTGGTAGGGAAAATAAAAAGATCGATATAAAACAGATTAGGACGAGGTGATTGGGGCGGGTGGTCAGAAAACCCTGAAGGAGAAAAACAATCATTGAGAGTTGTTGTTTTTTTTCTTTTTGACCAGGGTGTGACCACAGCTTTGCCCGGATTTCACGCTTGTCAACAAGAATGTTGTCAGCGACTTCGGAGTCACCGATCGGGTGAACCACATTCTGAGCTGAGGTGTTTTTTTTTTTGGGGGGGGGGGGGGGGGAAACTAGATTCTGATTGAGTTCGAAACTTCAGGGATTATTGGCTGAAGTCTCAAGGCGCTTGTCCCGTTTTGGCACCACCAAGTCGGGCGGGCGCCGCGGCTGAGATGCTTTCTGGTGGGGAAGGAATTGTGGACCGTTTCCCAAAGCATCGGGGGGAGGGGGGAAAGATACACCTCTGCCCACCGGAAAGAGGGGAAAAAAAATCTTCCTTCTCCACCCTGGATGGTCCCTTGGAGAGTAGATTGGGTGCCCGGACTGGGGTTAGAAAATAGTCCCTGCGCTGACAGCCGCGGCATGATGATGGGCGTGATGAAGATGGGGATGATGCTGGTGAGACTGCCCTTGCTGCAGGATCGGGGAGGCTCCTGGCAGGTGGGAAGCTGCGGCGCTGGACGCCTGGTGATACCACGAGTAGTTACCCAGGAAAGCAGCGGCTCCGCTAGGAGTGCCGGGGCTCGAACCTGCGCTGCTCCCGCTGCCGCCACCGCCGCCGCCGTTACTCATTCGCTGCGGGTGGGGAGCAAAGTCCCAGGTGAGGGTGGCTGAAGCAGGAGGCGAGGCGCAAGGAGGAGAGGAGCTGCCGACCCGTTGCTGATCCCCCGGGATTTCACCGCTTTTCCACATCTTCTTGAACTTGGATCTGCGGTTCTGGAACCAGATCTTCACCTTGCCAAAGAGAAGAAAGAGAGAGAAAAAAAGGCGGAGATGAATGGGAGGCAGTAACAGCCCAGCCCTTTCCCATCCAAAATACACATAAAACAGAAATACCCCAAAACAATCGCCCTTCTCCCCTCCAGTTCACTCAGCCTTCTGCCTTCTACAAATTCTCCCATCCTGGGGTCCTGCTCTGAGTATTCAAGGGATGGTCCCCAGTTGCTTTTTTTGCTAGCGGCTCTCACTGCTGAGGCCCATTAGATTTGTTGTTTGCTTATGCCAGGCTGGAAGTTTGGTAATCTCCGAGATTTGTGGCTAAGAGGAGAAGCCTGGTCCCCAAAACAGACTTTTGAGAAACTCACAGCTCAGGTGGGAGCAGTTGGAAGAGGTTACAACAGGGCAAGGAGCTTGATGGAAGAAAGCCTGATCAGGAAATGTCTCTTATTGTTTTGTGAGGTCTTCAGCCGAAAACTAGGCTTGGCGAATTCTTTGCACAGTGAAGGGGCAGTGCTGCTGGGACATTCCCCCAGAAATACCTGGGGCCGCCAATGTAGAGAATCTGCTATAAGGATAAGGCAGTTTGAAGAATGTGCCCGCCTCTCCAGCATCTTCCACGGGCATCAACTGAGATTGTGTCCAAGAACCTACTTTTCTTGCCAAGTCCCTCTGTGGCATACCTTTCTTTCTGGGGCATACTTTTCTTTCTGGGTTTTTATTCCTGTCTGACTTCCCTAATCATGGGATTTAATTGAAAATGTTATGGGACTCGATCCAACTATGAGTGGATAGAGCAGGAAAGGGGAGGACCAGGCTACCTGGACTGAAAGAAAATATAAGGGTCACATTTAATTTCAAATAAGAATTGATGAAAGATTCTGGCATTAGGTTTCCCTGATATTTGAATTCTGCCACTTTCCCCCCTTTCAAATACTATAGTACAGACTCTAGCAAAGACTTGCTAAAGGAGGTGCTAAATCCGCTGAAGCACTGGGTTCTTAGGAAAACAGGATCTGGCCAAGTCTCATTGTTTCCAGGCAATGACTTCTATGGGACCCAAAAGATAGCACCTGAACCTATCCTGGAGAAGAGACAAAGAAGACCTTCCCTACATTTGTGGAAGGTTATCTAGGGCTGAGGAGGAAACTTTTCCCATTTTCACAAAACAATGAGAAAATATCATTGGCACAAAATAAGCATCTCTGCCTGGAGCCATGGCAAGGCTTCTAGGAGCAGCTTCTGCTCAGCTGAATAATGTGGCAGGGCTGTGATCCTGAACCAGTCCGCACAAAGAGGGAGATGGAAGATCCCACCTGATGCCCTTAGCATTGTCTTCAACTAACACTCCTAATCTGTTTGTTGAATTTGATTGGCACAATACATTGGACCATACATTGACCAAATTAGCTGGATTTGAGTAAGCTGCACTCACATACACTAACCAAGATCAAAAATGGCATCAAACTTGGCATGCAGCGTAGGTATTTCACTGATCTGGTTAAAGAAATCGCTCCCCGACACTCTTCTGATGTCTTCTTACCTGAGTTTGGGTGAGGCCTAGTGAAGCTGCCAACTCAGCTCTCTCGGGCAGTGCCAGATATTGGGTCTTCTGGAAGCGTCTCTGTAAGGCTGCCAACTGAAAACTGGAATAGATGGTTCTCGGCTTTCGCACTTTCTTTGGCTTCCCATTAACTATTCGGATCTCCGGCTCGACCTCTTCTTTTTCTGTGGCAAGAAAGGAAAATGGGTGAATAATCTGGTTCCAGCACTATACGCCCCCCCCTTTTTATTTTGGATGAGCTGTGGAGCCTCAGCTACAATGCCTTGCACTGCAAGGATGGGTTAAAAGATCCCGGTGCCACAATGCCACCCAGGAACAATTTGAGCACACGCTCTTTCCACCCCCTTCCCTCTTCCGAATTAAATAATTCAGCCTTAACAAATCAGAAGGAAAAAAAGTGTGTGTGGGGGGGAGAACGTCCCACTTTGTTACGAGCTTTCCCCCCTGACCTCTTGTGCCCAAGAGTCTTACCGGGTTCATTGTTGATTGGGGGCGACCTTGTGCCATAGGTTGCATAGGAGCTGTAGGAGGTGGAGTATCCCAGATCGTAACTCCCGGCTTTGGTGGAGTAGGGCACTGCGCCGATGCCATTCGGGTGGTACTGGTAAGAGCCCATCTGCGCGTAGGGCGACCCACTGCTTCCGTTGCTGCCTGTGCCTCCTCCAGCTCCACCGCTGTGCTGTTGCTGGTTGGTATAGTAGCTGCTGTCCGTGGCGGTCGACACAGGCAGAGTGGGAGATTCCTGGGGCTTATGCAAGCTGTGGTGCTGCTGCTGGTAACTGCTGGAGGTAATCTGGTTTGAATGCATATCTGAAACAAGGCTGTCAAAGACTCCAGTCATCCTGGTCCTCTATCCCCGCCCCTCTCCCTCCCTCCCTCCCTCCCTCGCTCGCTCGCTCGCTCCCACCCTCCCTCGCTCGCTCCGAGAGTAGAGGACCGCGAGCAACAGGGAGGGAAACTAACTCGGAGTTTCCTTTCTGCAACAGGCCGGAGACGCAAAGCCTTGCCCTCTTTCGCTGAGAGGTCCAAGGGAAAAAAAGAAAAAAAAAAAAAAAAGGAGAGATCACTGGAGATCCCTAGGGCTGGCCGCCACCGCCACCGCCACCGCAAGAGTTGCGGGAGAAAGAGGGCAGAAAGTTGCCATCGCCGTCCGGCTCCTTTCCAACTTTGCGCTTCTTTCAAAGGCAGAGGCAGATCCCACCCCCGGGGGGAAGAAGCAAGTCGCAGCGATGCTCAGCCCGGGCTTCCCAGCAGCGCCTTTACGATTGTCTGCGGCTCGTGGATGCTGCCAGGTGGGCATTTAACACCAGTCACGTGAGCGCGGGCTACGTCACCTAGCAACAGCCAATCCGGGCCTCCGTTCTCGTTGTCTTCTTTCTCTTTTCTTTCCCTCGGCCCTCCCGCCTCCCTGCCTCCTCCTCGCTTCTAATCTTCGGATCCCCGGGGCGGTGGAGGCGCCTCGCAGATGACACGCGCTGGGAAGGGGGGGGAAGAGCGGCGGGGGGGGGGGGGGGGGGGGGGGGGAAATACCGAGAGAGAGAGAGAGAGAGAGAGAGAGAGCTCCCATCTCTGGGCGCTCCGGGGAAAGGGAGGCTTAATAACCAGAAGAAGAAAGAGCATTGTTTGGGTTCCTTTTGCTGAGTTGCGTTTGAAAGCTTGCACCACTTGGTTTGTAAAGAGATAAAAAAAAAAAGTGAGTCAGATCAGATCAGATCAGATCAGATCAGATCAAGCCAAAGCAGGGAAGTTTAGTTTGAAGGAACCGGCTCCCTAGTTTAGGATCCCGTTTACAACCTCGTCACTGAGATCCAGCCATCGCCAAACCCGTATTCCTAAACTGCACACGTGCCAGGAGAAATCTTTTGGGGCGTCTTTTGTCGCGCTTCCCTTATATTACCGAGGAGGATGCTATCACCAGTGCAGTGATATATTAAGTCTCTAAACTGAAACTCAAAATGCTTGGGAGAGAAGAGGATTGTAAAGTCGTGGTCCCGATTTGCCCGTTTTGGGGACGGAGCCTCTCCAAGATCTTAGTTTTTCTTTTTCATAAGGCAAACTTCAGTATGTCTGTGAAGATTGTCAATCATCCAGGTCCTGGCCATCCCAAAGGTGTTTTTCAAAAAGCAACTGGACTTTAATTTCTCCCCCCCCCTTCCCTTGAAAGCGTTATTTATTTTCCTTGAAAATGTTTCTCTTCTCATCCAAGAAGCTTTTTGGATGAGAAGAGAAACATTTTCAAGGAGAGGGTAATAAGAACGTTCAACTGTTTTTTGAAATGCACCTTTGGGGCAAACTTCAGCAGTTGCAGCTTTCCCACCCAGCCCTATCCGTTTTCTTCCCCAAACCACAACTTGCAACGCGGCGGGCGGGCGGGCGGAGAAAGGCGGGCTTTATGCCTAGCGTGAAGGTTTGGTGATCTTTGGAGAGAGGAAAGGCAAGTGCTTGCAGTGGGAAAGAAAGATCAGAGTCGCCTGCAGTAATCCAGGCTTCACCTACCTGGCGCCCTCCAGAAGTCTTGGTTTATATCTCTCATCATCCCCAGGTAATATTCATTGCCCATCCTCCCGTACAATAATAGGCCTTTCAGTCAAACGCTCCTGTTTGGCGGGGGTGGGTGGTGGGTGGGGGAGTTAGTCGGGATTTAATGCCCACTCGGTTGTCCCCACTTTAGGAAACGCGGACTCGAAAGGGACCGGTTGGTCTTGGCCTTACCGTTTAGCGCCACTTAGCGGACAACTGCTGCTACTGAAGACCGGAGGAGACGGGATAATCGCACCTAGGCGCCAGGCTCTTCAATCACCGAGCCCAGCAAAACAGTAATTAAAAGCCACAACACTGAGCCAGCGCACATCCTCTGAAATCCTCAGAAGAAAGAGACATACCTGTGTGGGAGAATCAACTTGTTGCAACAGCTGCTAACGGGGAAAGCAAGTTAGCCTGTAAGAAATTCTTAAAACAGAATAAAATCTACCTCTCTTTCCATCTCTTAGCGCACCCCCCCCACGTTTTGTAAGAGTGAGTTTGCAGCATCAGCCCTGTTACAATGCTGTGCCTCCTAAAGGACGTTAGTGAAGTCCATGCTTCCCATTGTCAATGCAAAGAATACTAAAAAGGTAGCTTTCTTAGAGGCTTTGGAAGTGGCCAAAGAGAATACTGAAAGAGTAAACTGTTTGGAAAAGATGGGGCAGGAGGGGGGACGTTGATCTGGTTTGGAAAGAAATCACCCCTTGCCCAGTTGGCTAAGACAGTTGGGTGGTTTTTTTTCCAGGGCCATCTTGCTTTATTGCAAGTTACTATGAAAGCTAGCAACAAAACTTGGGAGTTGTTCTTCAGGTGCTACACCCTTTCCTTGGTACAATTTTGATCTTAAAAGCAAGGTTTTGAATTGCTCCTTAATTTTGCTGGCTTCCCTGCCCCACTCACCTAACCTGCTTTATACTAGTTGCAGTCCCTCCAAGGCACTATCTCATTTCAGCTTTCCTGACTGCATCTCGTCTCCCCAGCTTGTTGTGAGCCAGTTCTTTGCTCTCCTTCCCTCCCTGTTGACTCAGACTTGGTCCTCAGGCTCAGGAGAGGCCTTTTGACTGCAGATGCAAAGTGCACCAGGAAGTTTCGACTAATGAGCTAACCAAAAAGGTTGATCTGAAAGAGAAAAACATGTTTAGTGACCCCAAAACTTTAGGAAAAGAGATAGCCTACTTGACACCAATTATTACTTCATTTAGGACCTTTAGATCCAAGAACAAAAAAAATAACTCATAATATTTTTATATCAAACTGGAAGTAAAAGTGGCCTAAAATGTTACCTTGAACGCAGCATAACAAAGAACATACTATTGATGCAGGTTAAAAATGGGAACCTTTTAAATGTTCAGGAAGCCAGCGGATATCAACATAATCTAATCCAAACGTGAAGAGAATGTAATGGCAAGGAAAAGCATTTCCTGGTCAATTTCCACAAAAGATTTAAGGGGAAAGAGGATATGATAGAACCTGGCAACCGCTTACAATTGGAACATTTAAAAAAGAAACTGAAGGCTTGATTTTGGCTGCACAAAAGCAAGCTACTTCAGCTAATGTAATCAAGGCCAGAATTGAAAAAATCATCAAATGATTTCAAATGCAGCTTGTGCAAAGAAGCAAAAGAAACAGCAGTCGATATACTCAGCTCGTGAAAGATTGCACAACTGGGTTATAAACAATGACACAGCAAGGTCATCAAAATAATTCACTGGAACATCTGTAAAAATTACAGAGCAGTAAGGAAAAATCAGTGGGAACATATAGTTGAAAAATTAAAATACTGTGGGATTTCTAAATACAGACTGATAAAAGCCTGACTCATAACACACTAGATATAACTGTAATTGATGTGGCAATACAGGGGGAATAGTAGAACAAAAGACAAAGAATTGCAGAAGATCACAAAATATCAAGATCCGTATTTTAAAATTGAACGATTATGGCATAAAATGGCCATTGAGTGCTTATCGGCACACTCCATACAATGCCCAAATAAATAAATAAATAAATAAATCTTGGAAGGCACTTAGAAAATCTGTGCATTGACAAAATTTTTATCTGTCAAGCTAAAAGGCCACATTGCTCGGATCTGCACATACGCTACGCTAATGCATCATGACATCCAGGTTCTTGGGAAGAATTCAATATTCAAGGCCAGCTAAAGAACTGGCAGCTGTGATTTCACATTTCTGTGTACATAATAATATACCTAAATCTTACCTTGTGGATGATGTTATTAGGCCTTTTAATATTGCTGCCAGAGTAGGTCTGGGGACACAGTGGTATCTTCTTCAATTATAGAGTTTGGTTCCCATGTCCCATGGTTCCTATGATCTGTTGCTATTGCTGAGTAGCTTTTTGTGTGAGGCAGGGGCTATAAACAAGTGTAGCCCTATCATTCAGGCCTTATGAAACAGACGTATAATTGTCCAGGATGGACTGCAGGTCATTGATGATACGTCTGACTGTGTTTTAGTTGAAGAGGGACAAGTGATATTCTGTTGTTTTCTTTCCTGATTATTTTCTTTAGATCTTTCTTAAATACCAGTGAACCCTCTTTTTTTTTTTAAAAAAAAATATATTGTTGGGTAGATACTGTACTTTGAGAAATGTCTGATTTAAATCCTTAACTTGTGAGTCTGACAAGTCTGAACAGAGTTGGTTGTTATATATGGGATGGCAGTAGATAATGAATTCTTGTGTATTTCGAGCAAAAAAAAAAATACAAGAATCTAATCTGGTGTTTTTATTCCGTAGTGCCACAGTAGTTTTTAGGAAAGGACCCATTTGCATGATTTAATTCAGCCCTAAATTGATTGTGTGGTGAAATGTATTGAATTCTAAGTAGAACTTTGCTAGGATTTTGTTTCCATGAGTCTAGTTTTTTTTTTTTTTTAAATGTCATCAGTGTTGTTCAGATAGAGAAGCTGTGGAGAATAGGAACTATATGGAAACACGATCATATTTCAAGTGTTAAGGTGTGATGTTATCTGCAGTCACGTATATATTCATAGGAATGTTACTGATTTGAAGGTATTTTATTTGTCTAAAGATGAAATATTGTGGATAATTACAAAGTCATAAGGTATGAAGGCTTAATATATGGAGACAATCAGAAATGAAAATCCTTGTGACTTTTAATTTATCTTTCTGGGATAGGTTGCTATAACAGGACTCAACATCTGTGGTAGTTGGAATGTTGTTTCTTGGGAGATTACCAGTCAGTTGTCTTTTCTTAGAAAACAATTTATATTCTTATGTCACTTGTAATAGAAGAGCAACATTCAAAACAACTAATGAACAAACACTGTTCTCCTTTGGGCAACTTGTCACTGACCTTAAGAACAAAGAATTTCAAAGACAGATTAGAATGCAAAGTACCTGAGTGACAGTTCATAAAGATTTTTAATTTTACTTAATTTGTGCACAGTAGGACAAAGCCCTTTATTTAAGGGCAATTGACCATGGCAGACTGAGCTGTTCCTGACTTTTCCTTAAGCCAATCCTTGTTGCAGTGGTTTGGCAATGGGGTTGGGTTGATGCATATTCTGGACTATGGCCACAACAGCTTCCCATTGGTCCTCCCCCCTCTTTCTTCCACATGGAGAAGATAATCCCCTTCCCCAGCTAGCTCATGTATGGGCAGGTCTACCCGGGCTTGTCTGCCTTCTCTTTTTTAGGGATTGCTGTCCTTTTGCTAGTCTCCTTCCGTTTCTTTTGCTTTTATAGATGTTTATACACATGGATCTCTTCCCACCACTTTTCCACATTTTCTTCTTTGACACTAACACAGACCCACCCCCTCCCCCTTTTTTTGCTGTAATGATTAAAGCAAAACAAGAGTATTTCTTCAGTCCCTCATTCCACTGAGAAATTTTGTGGCAATGAAAAAACCGATATTCAACGTTCACACAAGCAAAGAGAATGATTAGTTGACGCATTGTGAATCCAGCCTTCATGCCATTACGCCTGCACTGTAATTGCAAGGTTGTTTTTACAGCTATATAGGACAGTGGCTGATATTGCAGGCGAGTGCTGAGAATGTCATTAGACTAAAATGAAGCAGGTAAATCAACTACTCCGGAGGTCAGGAGAAAAGACAGCTCAGGAAAGAAAAAGTACTGTCGAAGGAGAGCTTCAAAACATGACCAGAGATGCATTTAGATAGAAGCACGTAGATAGAAGATTTATGTTGTCTCTTTCTACACTCAAGACGTTGTAAGTGGCCAAGACAGACAACAAGGCAAGCAGAAGCCCAATTGTGGCCTACATAAATTAATCAATTTTGAGCATTTCAAAGATGTTTCTGATATCCCCCAACAATGTTTTTTTGTGAATGGCCACACTGCTTATTGCATTTATTTATTAGGTTTTTAAAGGCAAAGGTTTCCCATATCCAGTCGTGTCCAACTCTAGGGGGTAGTGCCCATCTCTGTTTCTTAGCTGAGGAAGCCAGCATTGTCCAAAGACATTTCCACGGTCATGTGGCCAGCATGGCTACATGCCACAGCGCAGAGCGTGCGGTGAAACATGGAACACTGTTATCTTCCTGTCAAAGTGGTACCTATTTATCTACTAGCATTTTCATGCTTTTGAACTGCTAGATGGGCAGGAGCTGGGACAAAAACAGGCGCTTTAGATTTTTATCTAGATTTTAGCTTTAGATTATTTTAGCTTTAGATTATTTATTTATTTATTTATTTATTAACATATATTTATATGCCGCCCTTCTCCCGAAGGACTCAGGGCAGCGAACAGAAGATTGAAAAACAAACGACAACAGAATAAAATCCTAATTAAAACCAATTAGAAGTCTAAAATAATTAAATAGTAAAAACCCCGGAATCAGAATCAGCCCATTTGATGGAATAGCCAAGTCTTTAGGCCACGGTGGAAAGAGTGGAGATTGGGCGCTGTCCGGAGCTCGGTAGGTAGCCCATTCCAGAGGGTAGGTGCGCCCACAGGGCGCCGCCAGCCAACATTGTCTGGTCGATGGCCCTCTGAGGAGGGCAGCTCTATGTGAGCGGATTAGATTCATATCCCACTTTTATTACTTTATAAGTCACTTGTACTTCTTCTTTCCTCCTGTTTTCCCCACAACAGCAATCCTGCGAGGTGGATTGGGCTGCTGCATTGTATGCATACTTGCATTGTATGTATATACTTGGAAAGATTATTGTGAGCAAATTATTTAATTAATATTTAACCTTTCGGTCTGTAGAAGTTATTGCTCTTGAATTTCAGGGGCATCCTACATTTAGATATTACCTGAAGCTCCAAGATTGCTTGCTTGATTTCTGTAATCCTATTTTAGGCTACATGAATTGTCTGTGTAAGTCACGATATAGGCAGAGTAATCTATTAGTAGAGAAAGGAAAGGAAATACTTATGCAAATCACTAATCTTGGGGGGAAAAAAGGGTCATGTGCCATTCATTTTGAAATAGTGCTTCTAATTATTCTTG